CTCTCCTAGGACACCAAGGGGGTCTTTTCACCGCTCCATAATCCACCCTTAAGAGGCATGATGAGAGCGCCACTAAAAAATCACACCCTTAAGAGCATGATGGAGAGCTCCCACTAAAAATTCACACGCTTTAAGGGATGATGGAGAGCTCTTGAGGCTCTCCATAATGCTCTAGGGTGTGAATGATGGAATCATGACCAATCCTCAGCGTCTAGAGTGAAATCCAAAACGAAATTGGATGTCATTCAATCTACTGATTATCATTCATTCTCACCTTCATTCATTCAATGGCTTCGTCAGGATTACATTCTTTTCATCCAACAACGCCAACACTAGGCACACAGCGATTAATAAAAAGAGCTGATCGGATGAAAAAATAAACTTGTTTATTTATCTGATTTCCATCCTTAGAGATTCTAACCCATGTACCTGCATATTTCAGCATAAATACATCAACAATCCATCAACAAACTAGCGAATTACTTGTACGTAGTAGCCACGTATGTAGCCCATCCAGCCCTACGACTGTTTCACACGTCAGCAGAAAAACCCACTTCTCGCCACGTATAGTAGAAAACGAGCAGGTAACTTGTGGCTACCGTATAAGGTACTGTATTTGGATGCTTTGTTTAGTTTGTATTTATATATATATATAAACCAGAGGGTATAACGCAGAGCCTCGTACCTCTGCCGATACGTTCAGTTACTTACACACCACAAATTGTTGTGTATTGCTAACTTTTTTGTACCCCCCTACATTGAGAACTCTATGGAGCGCTATTTCACATAATACTATATAGACAGTACTTTGTGCGCGATTTCCAACAGCTGGCCACTTAATAATACTATAATATACCTATAATATACCTATAAAGGAAAAGGTATTATTAGCTTTTGATAATTAGCTTGGTATCCCACCACCTCTCATGACCTACTACCTATGTAGCACTTGGCTCTGCAACATACCGCGTTGGGATGCATGCATGCGTGCGTGCGTGCAGCTGTGAGGGCGTGCGCACGCGCGCGTGTGCCGTTGTTGCTATGATGTGGCGCGGTCATCGTGGCGCCCACCGTTCTCCGTGCGCAGCGTCTGTCGCAGACAGCGGCAATACAAGCGTCAGTCTGTGAGCATCCCTGCTTCTGAGTCACACACTGCGCGCGCCGGAATCAATACCGCACTATAGACGGACACAGCGCGTACTAATGTGCGTGCGTTCTGCGGCGTTGCACTGCTAAGGGGGCCTATCTAGCGAGGGAGACGGGCGTGTTGGCGGCAGGGCGATGCTGCGCCGGGAATCGCTAGTGTGAAGGGAGAATCGGGGAGTGGTGCATGCCGCCACGTGTGTGTTCCTCGGTGACAGCAAGTGTAAGAGACAGAGAGAGAGAGGGTCGGTGATGGTAGTGACTAAGAAACACTCGTGGAAGCCAACACTGACGGATATGGACGCACACGTCAATGTCAACGTGGGGGAGATTGTCAGCCACTGGGAGCCGAAGCGCAAGGTAACCGACAATGACCCGATTATTATTTCGCGTAGACGAGGCTTGCGGGGAGAGAGCGAGATGGGAGGGACAGCGACAGAAATGTAGGTAGAAATAAAGATAGACCGACAGACGGACGGACGGACGGACGGAGGGACAGACAGACAGGCCAATACAATGTTGTACATGGCTTGTACGTATCTGCGTTTCTGTAGTACGAAGCACAGGCACTTGGAGCGTTTCTATAAAATATAATGCTAAATAAATACGAAATCTATTTACTACCAAAGTCTTAATGTTTCTCTAGGCCTACTCTCTTTCACCTATTATTGCCGACAATTTCCTGTAAATGCCGTCCAAATGATCATCTGCAACACACGCTGGGTGCAGCACGCAGGCTGCTGCACACTGACACATATATATCAGGAGTTAATTATGCCTGGCCTAACCTTGTCTGTGCGCCGTACGTAACCCGTAAATATAACGCGGCATGTTTTGTGAGTGTTTATGGACTCGCTGCGATTGTCCTCCCAGCCACACCCGTACAACGTGTGCAGCATAGCGTAGCGGTTCTGCTGCAGCCGGGCCAGACAGATGCGTGCGTGCATCCGGCAGTTTTTAAAAACCCGGGCGTCGCGTCGCTGTGAAGTGTAGAGCCGTAGTAGCCACAGGCACTTGGAACGTCTCAAAACTCGAACATGAATAAGAGAACATGAATAACTTCTCTTATTCATGTTGTCTGTGCACAGGGCATGCGTGCGGTGTACTTGTGTGTTGCAGATGAGCATTTGACCGGCATTTACGGGTAATTATCGGCAATAATAGGCGAAATAGAGTAAAGAAACATGAATACTTTGGTAGTAAATAGATTTCGTGTTTATTTACCTTTTTTTATTGAGACGTTCCAAGTGCCTGTGGTAGTAGCCACAGTGGCTGACTGGCAGATGAAGAGGACGAGCAAGCCGAGAGGGTTGAGCGTATATTGTATTGGCGGGGATCACTCATGCAGCTCTAGGTCAGTACGGGCGGTCTACTTTCATGCTTTGAGCCTCGAGTTCTTCTGTCAGTGAGACGCTAGCTGTTGTAGCGTAATTGACCAAGATGAGGTGACTGTGAGGTGAATGCTCTTGTAGGTGGATCTTGTTACCCGTGCCGTGGCGGTGCTATGTGCCTGTAGGGTAGGTAGTTCACGACGTAGACCTCTACCTAGGTTAGTAAACAACTCGACTTGATCCTGTTAGGATGCGCACGTGCGTGCGAGTGTGTTCGTGAGGATGCACGTACGTAAGGAAAGGGGGTGTGCGCCCATACGTCTGCATACATGTGTGTGCCTGTATGCGTGTTTGTTTGTGTGCGTGCGTGTGTGTGCGCGCGCACACTTATGTTGTACCGTTCTCTCTACCGGTTAACCTTCCATGCGGGTTAGTGTTACAACAAACGTTCTGCCGTCTCAGTGTGTCAGCGTTCGTGAACTTCTTGTAGCGCAGTGCTGACACATACGCTGATCCAGGCACACTACTGACCCGCGTGCTCTCCTATACATGGCGTCGGGTGCGTGTGCGTGTGGATGAGGAAACTCTACTAGCAGCTATTCAGCATTGTGAGGGTCGCGGCTATCGTCTGCTTTCTTCCTCCTAGATAACTCTCGTGCGGAATTGACTCTATAGACTAAATTAAGCACTGTGTAAGTATGTATTATCGGCTGTGTTAGGCGAGCTCGGCTGTTTGGTGTTGTGGTGTGGTGTGTTTGTGCGCACTGTGTATACGCAGGGTGGCAGGATCAGGCTTGGGAACAAATGGCGATATGATCCGCTGGCGTGTCAACAGACCACGACAGCGATCATGATGTTTGAACCTTCGCATTCGCATTACGTGTAAACACTAATATTTACACTGCATGTGTGCGGGTGTGTGCGCGCCGGCTCGCAACACATATTTGTTTTCTTGCGCGTGCGTGCATGTTTCTAAGGTCATGGGGTGGATTCTATACTCATGGAAATATAAACAGCAGTTTATTTTACGCAATAATAGTATATTTACAATTAACACAAAACCAAAAATACATCACTTATGGTTGATCTATTTTTAATGAACGAATGAAACAATCGTGTGCAACGAGTGTTGCAATAATAGTACAAATCTACCGTTAATTGGTTTACAATTGCAGGAGGTACAGTAAAGTGAACAATGTAAACCTTTATGTGCTACTACAGGTCACCACAGTCTGCCAGCATGTGAGCTAGAACTAGGTGACATAGATTGGTGATGATGATGATATATGCAAGAAGTCTTATTGAAGCAACCCTTCTGGTTTGTAGCGGGTTACCTTTGCCTGACGCCAATGCCTGTGCTTTTTGGTTTGTGGATTTTTGCGAGTGTTTTTTGATCTTCTGTTTTTGTCTTTCAAGAGACTCTTATCAGGAGAATTAAAGGTAAATCGTATTTTAGTTATCTCTAGAGACTCTTTTCTTTCTAAACTACTGAAATATTATTATCTACGGTAACAAGAAATTTAATATGCCAACATATTCAACCAAGTAATGTTATTGCTGTGATCGAGCGGCTAGCTTGAATTCGTAATAATATGTAAATGTAAATTCCGAGAATGTCCATCAAATTTACGCTCTACATCTACGTAGGTATTTTAATTGCTGTTAGCGGATTAGAAAGATGGAAATGTGTGTTATCTTTTAAAGAGCTATGATAATCTATCTGACTCTAGGCTATGTGCCGCGCTCTTCTCCCCCGTAACACTTTCCCTGCCTACTACGCTACGTTGCCTCACCTCGTCTAAATGGAATTTACGAATGAACTGCATTCCTTGGTCCCGAATCCGCCCTAGTTTTCTCAAACAGTTCCACAACAAAGTTTATATAAGAAGAAATAACAATTAAATAAACATGGGAGTCGTGTTTTACTGTTCAATGTTGGGTGTAACCATCTATTTATTGGTACACTATATATATATATATATATATATATATATATATATATAGGTTACTTTAGAGAATTTGAAGCGGGATTCGCGTGTGTCTAAAATATTAAACAAAAATAGGGATGGATTTTCGCAAGACATGCAGGCACGTGGTGTGAAAACTTCTGTAGGCAGGAGTAGACGTCTGCTGCATTCATCCACGCTAAATTGCTGCAATTCCAAATTTCAACTACGTGCGAGAACAACAGCGGTAGCCGCGGTTGATGTACGCAGGGGGTCACCGTCGCCAGATTTACATCAGACATTCTCTCTAACAGCGCTGGCGCTCGCGCGTGTGTTGTATGCCGTGCTCCCTGGGCAGCAGTACTCTGCCTCCGCGTCTGTGGGACGCGCGGATAGATCTGGCGGCACCGGTGTAGCTTGCGTCAACACGGACACGCCTTGTTAGCTACCACCGGTAGCACTTGTGTGCTGTGCACGCGCGGGGGTATCACAGGTAGCAAGCGGTTGGGCGTTCGCTAGCAACTGATTGCAGTCTGCACTGCTGTGCGTGTGTGTTCGTGTATGTGTGTGTGTGTGTGTGCATGCAGACAGCGAGCGAGGTGGTTGACTATACTTGGCGTGATATTACTCCCTTCCTGCACACCAGCTTCCTGCCTTGTTCGCACGATTCGCGTGTTGGCTTTTCGTGTGTCGCAGCCCGACAGAAATCGCAGCACGTGAGTATTAGGGGGTATCGTTCTTGAGTTGCCTGTAAAGTGAATAACTGCAGTCGAGTGCGAAAACACGCATATCAGAGACGGAATTGCCTCACTAGGTGTGAATTGGGCATATCATTAATAAATCTAGAAGATCGTTGACTGGGTTAATGACCCCTGACGTCACAAACTGCTAGCGATATGTTTGATTGAGTAATCGGTTTCGTGAAATCCATGACACACGCATTAATTGGGTGGTAATGTGTTTGCTTACGAATAATTAAGTCATAATTATATAATAACTCGGCTGTAATGTTCGTTATGAGTTATTGCTAACATTTGTTGGAATGGTACGGGCCTGTGCATACAGCCGTGTAGATGGATGGTGATGTGTGCACACTGCATGGTGATAGCAGGAAAATTGCAATGGAGGGGGATGTGACATTCTTGTATCATTTTAAGCACCATATATGCGCTAAAAATGCACATCTAGCAAACCACTGGAGATTTTATTTAAATGTTTCCAATAAGAATCATTATATAATTGGTTATTCGCTATATATATATACACTGCCTCACTGCACTACACCCTGGCCATGACTCCACCCACTGCTTCCTCATTGTCTATTACCTTGGCAATAGTTTATTTTTTGCACGCGCTTTACTTGTTATGTTTACATTTTTCTTTAATTTCGCCTTTCATTTTTTTTCCACTGCATTATTTCAGCTTTTCGTTGCGCTGGACATTTACCTCACCTGCATGCAGTTCATGTGAGTCAGGTGCACCTGTGCTACACTTACTCAGCCGAAGATGTCTGCTATACCCACGGTAACAACCATTATACGTAATTCTCCTATATGCATTTGTGTTTAGTTATTTTTCTAACATAGATATATAGGGGTGATACATGGTTGGTTTAACAGTACAGGTATTCGTTATGGTATGCACAGTTCTGGTACGTTTATCCAGAGCATCTTAGTGTAACGCTCGGTAACGTACACGTACGTATCTTGGTAAACCACCGTTAGTCTGACAGCATGTTTCTTAATGCCATATTGCTGACGTTTCCAATGTGCTGATGTTCGTACTTCCTCATCCGTTGGGGATATTCCTTGCCTTGCGCCCAGCCCGTTCCTCAGGGGTCTGTGAATCATCGCCCCCTTCTCCTCTACACAGCGTGATGCAAGACGAGGGACATCCGTGCTCCTTTGTAGGCTCGCCGCTTCTCACGCTCATTAAGTTCATATCGCGTGGAGTACCGATGAGTACGCATGCGCGCCGCCGTGTGCGTGGGGTTGCAGTGCGTATCGTAGAGTATAGTGTAGGTCACTGCGTTTTTTTACAACTCGACCTAGCACAACCACCGACCAGCCATGCATTATTGCTGATGAAGGAATCCCTACGCGCTCGCGTCGAGCACAAATTATTAATGACCTTGAGAGATCACGTGGAAGCTTTTTTCCCCACACATCTACACATCGCTAATAATTCATCTAACTGAGTGATTTACATCAGCAGGCAGATGCATCGATATATATATATTGTAGTCGCGGGATAATTTCGGCTGCCAGACAACTGTGCGCTGTAGCTTGCGTGCTATGTGCGCCGTGTAATTGTGTGTAAAACAGGAATAAAATGAGAGTAGAGGGATGTAGTTTACAAACTGCCGTTTCACCGTATATTATATACTCACTAAAACACATACAAATCACACAGGGTAAAGTAAAGGTTGCGCACTACACATAAAATCTAACAACAGACGAGTGTGAGCACGAGAGCCCCGTGTGGCCTGTGCGGCCTGTTTTATACCTTCTGTTGTAAGATGAGTCGTGAAGCCCTTACCAAATATGTTCCCACCAATCACTGCTGGCCACCGGGACGGCATAGGGTTTGGGACTATCGGCTATGGTCAGTTTTTAGAGTGTTATGTAGTGAACGGCCAATGGCGAGTAAGGAGTGGAGATGTTTTTACGCCCCCTCGGCCACGTAGGTGACCGATGTGGGTATGACGTAGGGCGGACGATAGTCAACGAAGCAAACGCTCTCATTCTGGAATGCTTTTTTGCTGTTATCATAACTTTTATTGAGGCTGTAATAAGCTGTGTGTGCGAGGGAAGCGAAATTTTCACGTGATCTATAGTCACCCCCGGGGCCCCATCGCTGTCATATTGGGTCGTGTTACCACGCTCAAGAATCCATCATCGGCGGGCCCAAACCCGCCCGCGGGGAAACTCATCCCGTTATACTTCGACCTGCCCGCAGTCGCAGCGGGGAAGCTGCGGGAAAGCCACGGGATGCGGCTCCATGGCAATAAACTGGTGATCCTCTCCGAGGGCCGGATCAATGCGATAGCAGGGAATTCAATAGAACAGCTTGCTCTTCGTTAGTATGGTCGCATTCGAACAAGCGGCAGCCACGAGCAACGCATGCTCGAGTATGGCTTCTTCGTGAACTGGGCCCCGTACTCGTCTACACACAAATGCAAATGCAGTGCTGCGATGATGGCTACTGTTGTATTTGCATTGTCAAGTACTCGCATCGGGGATATCGCTCCACCACCCGCCTCCTGCATGCAGAGAAGCCGTGGAGAAGGCGAGGTGCTGCATGCGAGTGAGCACTCGATAGTGTAAATATGGTGGTTACCAGGAGTACGTAAGAATATTCTTATGTACGCCAGCAGTCAGACCACCCCGCGGCTGATGCAATGCTGGTACTGCTGCGGCGATGGTTGCTGTTTGTATGTGTACGCTTGCATTCGTGAGGGCGCACGCGCGTGTGAGAGTGAGTATAATGTGTTTATTGTGGCTTCCATGAGAAAGATGTGTGCGTGGAAGGGGGGGTGCTTAATTAGCACCGGCTCATCAAATATGACATTTTCATTGCGCCATTGTTGAATATTCGCGTGTGCATGCACTGCATCGTCACACCGCATTATTACGTGTACTAGCAAGAGTAGATAATAACTACTGTTAAATACTGATAATTACTAATACTAAATACTAATAATTACTGATAAATACTGTTATTATCTACTCTTGGTACTAGTAACCTTTTTATTACTTTATAACGCTTGGGTGTACCGTATCGTTTTGTATCGTGGGTAGCTGTCTATATCGTGATATGTATTGTATCGGCCGTAGTGCTGCAATGGGCGACCATACATACATACGCTGTAATGATATATGGTTATCGATTTTTTCTGTGGTCAATATCGCGTTCGTTGGTTAACAACGGCAATAAACCTGTTATCATGTAACTATATTTGTGACGTCCGATCGATCACGATTTGTGACGCACGGGCATCATGTGGTATGTTTCTTTCAGACTTTTCAATTCAGGTGCAATTTGATCAGAGATCTGATCAGTAAAATGCCTATCTGACTCTTCGTCTGACTCTCTGTATTCATAATGATTCACCTTCTTATAACTGTATCAGTAATCACAATAATTGCATCTGCAGAATCGCATGTGTCGGCTTACATATTTATTAGCAGTGCGTACCAGCCTGCACAAATGCATTCAGCCAGCTGTTTCCTACTCGGTTCCAAAGTACGTCATTGGCGCAGCAGGCTCCTAGGAGGCATACTCTGACGACTATCCTCCGCATCGTTTCCTTGTTAATGTGCTTAAAGTGACTACGTCACGAATTTTCTATGGTAAAATGTGTAAATTTTTTGTTGCCATTTTCTTTACATTAAAAGTAAGAACTAACGGGACTAAACGTATCGTCAAATTCTTACCTGATTAGATTGTTTCTCAACTAGCTAAAAATACAAAAAACCTGGACGATTTGATATTAGTGTTCATAACATTAATTGCTTGCTATGGGCTATGTATGAGTCACAAGTGTATGTTCACATCGAACAATATAGTAAAATAAGAAGTATAATGCAGCAATTTAACCATAAAAAGTGAACAGAATCACTTATATTTTGTGAAAAAGTGGATTTTTTTTAATTTTTTTTTAGTTACGGTGACGTAATCACTTTAAGCATTG